CTGCCTCCGGTTACTCCCAGCTTCCCCTCCTCCCTGGCAGAGCATGAGACTCAGAAAGTCCTTGGTCAGAGTAAACATTACTGAGCAACAATTAAAAACATTGGTGTTATCAGTGCTGTTCCCAGGCTGAAAGTCAGAAACAGAGCACTGCACCAGCTACTAAGAAAGAGAAAAATGACTGCTACTGCTGAACCCAGGACAGATGGTCTGTCTCCCAAAGATCACACAGCTTGACTCTGCCTTGCTGAAGAGGAGGATGGATTTCTTTCACCAGGTGAGGGCCTTTAAAGCTCCTAAAATACTGTCTGTACAAAAATCTTTGGCAATGAAGAACCCCTACGTGTTTTCAAGTGGCAAATCAGAGCACATATGTGTTTATTTTCCTTGCTGCCCTTTTTAACATGCTCGTCGCTTCACATTTTCCATTAATTTTCTTCACAAAACAAACCCACCCCAGCACCCCTTGATGCAGAATTACAGCAGTGATAGCATTGCAAACACACCTCCCACAGTGTCTGCTCTGCCCCCCTGCCATCTGTTGCCACAAAGCAGTGATCACTTGTAGGAAGCAAATATCTTACACTGCTCCAGGTTGAGGCAACAATTCAGGTGACACACTGGCCCCTTCAGAAGCATAAAATCAACAGCCAGCCTGTGCTCCTGCCTCAGGACATGGTAGTTGCGCACTCCACCACTGTGTGTTGGAGGCAGGGCCAGCAGAACCTGGGACAAAGCAAAAGGAGGCACTGCCAGCAGGCAGGGGAACACAGCTCTCTGCTCCTCCAACCTTATGTTGCTAGATAACCAACCATAACCCACCCATAAATAAGCTTGGCTATTTTCTGTGGATGGAGACTTCTGTGGATGGACTGCACCTTTATTTCAGATGACTGAGAGTACTGAGATATAAGCCCAAAGGTCTCAGGTTCAAGCTCCAGTGATGACAATTGCAAAAGCAGGTCACCAAAGGGTAAAAGAGGCAGTGCTCTGGACAGCTCAGCAGTGTTTTGGATGCCTTTCTGTTGTCATTTTGAAATGCTCTTTTTTTTTTGTCAGCCCCAGGAATTACCCTCTTGCCTCTACTGTTTCAGCTGTCCATCACTTTAACATGAAAGCTAGGAGCTGACTCCAGTCAAGAACAGCAGTTTAAAGTCCATCTCCTTCGGGCAAGCAATGATCTTGCTCAATGCAGCCCTTTAGCAATCCTCCTGAGCAGAAGGGAAACGTTAGATGTTCACCAGCCCATTTCTGTGCCTTCATCAGGCACAGTCATCCTCCTGCCAGTGTTGGAGGAATTACATGGGCCCCCATGCTGAGGACAAGAGTCATGCTGGTTTTGGTGCAGTTCTGCAATTTCTTGCTAGGATTTGACCTCAATCTAAATTTACCCTGAAATGGGAAGCTAAACAGCAGGAGAGGGCAGAGCAATCTTGGTCCGATTTCTGCCTGACTCCATTAAAACCTGTCAGGAATTGATGTGCTCCCATGGGATCTTCCAGGTCAGTGAGCGGTGATAAAAAATGTGTTCTCAAAGTGACTGCTGGAGCAGTTCTCACTGTGACATGCCAGTGGTGGCTTCTCCCACACTCAGTGCAGGGATGCAGCATTAGTACCCGGGACCTTCATATGCCACCATCAGAAGTTAAAATCAAAATTTGATCTAATTTACCGACAGTAAAAACATCACAATTGTAGGTATGTGTATGTCCCATACCCACACAGAGAATTACTGCCCCCTTTTTCCTGTTTTCTTGATTAGGCATTTTTTAATATCTTTTTTCTTTATGTTTCCTCTTTACACTTCAAAATCTGTGTACCTCTAATAAAAGACTGCATATGTAGGTTGACTGAGGTAAGCAAAGAGTAATGCACTTTGTAAAAATACCACTCATTTTAGTAAAATCCTCAGTGCAAGCCCGAGTAAAAGTAGCCCTTGTTTTACCTCATTCTCCATCCCATAGAATGACCCCCAGATGTCCCCAGGGACATTTTTTCCCTGAGCTTTTCAAATGTTTTTACTTATAATGGTAATAGTTATTTAATGCCTTCTGAGGGCGGAACAAACCAATGAAGTATTTAGCATTATGCAGTATGACAGATCTTTTTAAAGGTTAGAGGGAAAACAATTTGTGAGTTTGTTTCGTGAGCCACGTTGGCTTTCTCTTACAGCACTGCTAAAGCAAAACTTGCCTCCTGGTTTACCCAAGTCTCCTTTAACTTCGATACTGTTTGAAAGTCAGATACTCTTCTAATCACATTGTAGCTATTTCTGTTTTCAATACTTCTAGGAAATGACAGGCTGCATAGGAGCATTTACTGAACACAGTTCTCAAAACATCAAGCTCTGTTCTCCAGAGTGATGCTACACTGTCCCTCCATAGAGCAGTCACACAGTAAAGGGGCCTTGGCCAGTTTGCATCCTTTTAGAAAGAGCTAAACTTCATATTCTTCATTCTTACAGGTTTAAACTGATTTTTTTTACTCTCTTGGAAATTCTGAGAAACCTTGAATATGCTCCTTATGAAATAAAAAACTAACGGCAATGTGTGCAGATATTTGTTCACCTTCCAAAAAACAGTGAGCTTTCTTAACGTTCTCTCAACACAGATTTTCTTCTTTCATGATTTGTTTAGTCACTGATGAGTTATGCTAATTTCAGTGGAAAATGTGTTTTGAGATTTTTATTTCTGTATTTTCTGGTAGGCAGAAGATCTCCATAAGCCTCCACAAATGCCAGTGGAAAACAAAGCAACAGTACATCAATGATTTATTATTTGGTATTTTGAACCAGAATAAAGCAAATAACGGGCTTCAAAAATTATTCATAGGACTGATACAATTCCTTTTCTTTTTATTTTTTTTTTTTTGAATGCATGAATTGTTGTCACTACAATTAGAAGATCATCAAAGCCTCGTTTTGCTCATCAGTCTTCATGACAGTTGTTTTGCACCCACGCATGTTCTCTTCTAATTCAGTTGAGGAGCTAATGAATAACTCCTCCTAACAAAGGGGCCATTCATCCCAGGCTTACAGAATTATTAGAGGAGAGTTGCGTAAATGTCACTGAAGACTAGTGTTTGCAGGCCTGTCTCTAAATTTGGTTATTCACAACCTTTGCAGCTCAATATTATTGCTGAACTGTGATCGTTTTCTAATTACCTTAATAATACCTATTAAATTACTTGAATTGCGTAAGCGCAGACCTGCTTAAACACAACTTAACCTAATAAATACTGGTCATTCATTAAACAACAATGCACATTATTTTTAGGAAGGTTGAACAGAGTATTAAACTCACCAATTCCTGCATCATTACATGCGTGCTATTACAAGCAACAAAGCATTCACATTTTGTTTGGGAAACTTGCAGCTTCATGCTTTCGCACCAGAAGAGTTACTGAGACACGGTAACATCCTACTCTTCAGTATCTGCCCTATTTGTAACTGGCCACCTACGCACAATCAACAGGGAGAAAAAATAGTACTTTCACCTTAATGAGGACAATCCAATTACTAAAGATGGGAAGAGAATGAGAAACATCAATCTCTTGGCAGACAGCCTTCTTTAGGAAATGCGATTGTCAAAACAGCAAAAACAAGAGGTGGCTGTAGGCCATTTATCTTGGTATTTGGCATCTATCCCAAGAGACAGAAGTCTCTTGTCCCTCTCCGGTTTTCGAGGTTTCCAAAAAACCAACCACCCTTACACAGCTCAGCAGTAAAGAAAAAAAGCTAATCAAAACAAATCCTCAAAGTCTTTTTTGCAGACTTTCTCACAGGTGGTAAAGTGGGTACCATTTCACAAAAGGCTATTCTTTCATTTAAGGAAAAAGATACTAGCCTTTAAATAACAGTTGAAATAGGTTGGAACTATCAAATGTAGAAAATCAGTTAATAAATATAAAAGGTTGGGCAAATGCTGTCTTGCTGAATTGACTACTTCAGTGTTAGAATAGGGGCAACAACTGCTAAGAAACATGGCATTAAAATAAGCCAGCATGTAGATATTGTGCTAGGTTGCCCACCCAAGACAACAAAAAGATCAGGTGCCAAAACATATCTAGGTTTTCAGTGCTGTGCAACTGCTTGTCATGAAAGCACCATATTCAGATTTCTAAAACAGAGGTAAATAAACACACATTTGCAATCAGGCTCCACAGAGTCCTTTCAGCACAGAACCACAGCCCCCTCTGAAGTCCTTTACACACATGGTTCACAGTCCCATCCCCATTTTGAGCCTGGCAGCAGCTCCCAGATGTCCCGTCCCTCTGTGGGAGGTCTCCACAGCTTCACTCCATGTGTGCTGGGGAGCACTGGCAAGGCTGGCTTGGCGGGAGGATGACACTGTCCTGGGTGTTTGGGACTGTCAGTTCAGGTGAGGGAAAACCTTGCCTCCAACCTGGAGGAGCCAGGACAATGTCCCTGTGATCTTCTACCTATTGGGGGAAAAATATCTTCTACCTACTGGGGGAAAAACTGTGTGGTTTGGGTCTGTGTGCCTGATACTGCTGTTGCTATAGCATGGCCACTGACTAATTGTATTAATGGCATCTCACACTCCAGAGGAATCATTAAGGACTCTGTTACTAGGCATGGGCTGCTGCTGGCTTGGTAACTGAGATACAGATACAGCTCCTGGAAACCTCATGGGTTCTCTCCAGAGGATGAAATTCAGCTCAGGATAGATTTTTTTAAAAAGGGGAAGGGGAGAAGGGGCTGGGGAGGATGTAGATTCAGGTTCAACAGGCAAATAATTCCAAATCTGTGACAACCAAGAGTAAATTTCTAGCATTTAGCGTAAAGGTGCTTGAGCTAACAGAGTTTGGAAAAAAGGCAAACAGTGATTTTTTTGTCCTTCTAGTTAATGTTCCGTTTCAGATTTTGCACTAAACTGTATTTCTAAGACACTAAAACCTCTCTACCTTGAAAAATGTGATTTTAAAGAAAAAAAAAACCCACCAAACAAAACCCACCACCAAACACACACTGCTTCATTTACCTGATTCTCCTCTTAGTTCTCTCTCCAGTTTGACACCAAAAATCTCCAGAGCTCTTTGTCTTTCCTCCAACTCTTCTAGCTGGCGCTGGACTGCCTGCAAAATTGTAATGATATAAAAGCTACAGACATAGCTTAAAAATTCAGAGACAAGAAGATAGTCTCAGTGGTTAGAGAAACAGCTTGAAAGGCTCTCGGAGTAGTCATGGGATTTGCAAACTGATTGAGTACATTAGGTGCCTAAGCAATTTAATAATTCCACCAGGTACCCAAATCCAGCAGGTATGGCTATGGTTTGTGTGGGTAGGTATCGTAGTTACTAGAAGAACCTAGTTTTCTTCTGAACTCTAGCTCTCCTGTTGTAAAACAGCGATCATAACATTTCTGTCTTTCAAGGTGTCAAAGTCAACAACTTACACATTCAGAGGCATATATTCTGAGATGCTACCTGAATAAAGGTCATATAGTATTGAAGGTTTACAGCTAGAAAGCTCTGCTAACTATTTTGTTGTCTATGTGATTTTGTTGTTTGCTTCTTTTGCTTTCATATTGCCAGGCTTTTGACACATGAAGGAAAAGGTCTAATACCTAGGAAGTGGCACTTTAGGAAGGACCTCTACATTCACTGCTCCATCCCCTTTTAAGCAAGATTTTCAGAGGTGCCTCGTGGATTATACACATGAAACATGTCAAAGGTAGATGCTCAGCAGTTCTCATTTCAGGCTGTGTTAGGGAATACTAAGCCAAGCCCTCAGCAACAGCCTGATGAATATGAAAGATAGTTCAACAAGTTTGGACTTCATTATTTCCACAAAGGGATAAAATAAGACAAGGTGTTTTTTAGCTTGAGATAATTTACAATTCTTAGTTGAAAAATAATACAGTTGCTCTTACTTTAGATTAAATAAGACACTAGGTTTTCTTCCCCATGGGTTTTATTCTGTCACAGAATTTATAGCAACAGCTAGATATAAGCGTTTTCTAAAATCCACTGGTTCAAACACAAAATTTGTGCAGTGATGTCTGCAAAACCAGAGATTTCAGATTCACATCTGAAAAACAACTTAGTAGTTCCCTTTTTAAATTTAATATTGGTAAAGAAGTAGTCAGTGGAAGCTCCACCCAAAACTCCCCACCTGCTGAAGTAATACAACACAAGATAATGAAAACTCCTGCTCTTTTCACTACCATATCTCGATTACCATTACAGCCTGAATTAATGAGATTAAATCTAGTTCAGGTTTCTCTGCCCTATGCTACTGTACGTACACACACAAAAATTGCTAATGGCCACATAAGCCATTGAGGAGTGGGGTTTTTTTGTGTGTATAGATATAGATATATATACACAATACACATACGCATATGAATACGTATGTATGGTAAGTGAAATAGATAAACCCAAAAATTTTGACACCTGAGAGAACATAGTCTGAGATCAAGTTGTGCACAAGTGCATCACAAAATCTTTGAACTGTAATTGAAAATAATAAACATTAGCAGAGTCCAAAGCTTTTCCAGCATCTTCCAAAATGCAGGGCCTGCATATAGTGAATTGGCCTTGCATAACTAAGAAAGAAAATGATTCACTTTCATAGTTATGGCAGAGAAAGAACAAAACCCATCACTGTATTTTCATACCCTCCTGTAGTACATAGGGGTAATAGTGGAGTTCCTTACATTCTCAGGGACTGATGTTACTTCCCCTTTCTATCTCCTTCCCTCTTCAGTGTATTCTTCTCTTATTGCCAGTCACTGTTCCCTCTTGTTCTTCATACACAGTTACAAAATTATGATGATCTCCTGGGGCACATGTGGATTTGTCACAAATAGAGCTGCAAGGCCCTGCCTCATACACCTTCTTGCTCCTGACTGATAGTTTGGCAGGACTTCAACACAGAAGGCCACAATGAGAAGTGAGAGGAAGCGCAAAGCCCATACTGGGTATCCCCATACTCGCTAGTCCCATTTGTCTTCCTGTAGTGACACCTGTGAGTTACATTTTCACCTGTGCTTTGTGAAGCCTCTTCAGTTCCTCTTGTTTAATCAATTGCTTTGTCTCCCTCTCCAGCTTCCTTCTCCTTCTGATAGACCATTTTGCCTACACAAGAGAGAGACAAATAAAGAAAGGCAATCAGAGCATAAGTATGCCATTACAGGTTTTCTCAAACCTACCCCAGAATCCCAGAACATAAAGGGTGTGGAAGAGACCTCTGGATCTCATCTAACTTGAATCCCCTGCTCAAAATAAGGTACACTGCTGCAGGGTGCTTGGGGCAACCTAACTGAAATGGAAATATGCATGTAGGAATCACAGTATCACAGTATCACAGTATGTTAGAGATCGGAAGGGACCTCAAAAGATCATCTAGTCCAATCCCCCTGCCGGAGCAGGAACACCTAGATAAGGTTACACATATTCATGCATTTGCCTACATTGACTTTAAACCATTACAAGCTCTTATTGCAACCCGCAGTGAGTGTGATCTGTGTCTATCAATAAAAGAAAAGTCTGAATTGCAAAGTTGCTTCTGCAGACAGCACCATGACCAGAGAAAAAGCCAGGCACAGGGAGGGGGAAGCACTGGTTTAAGGAAACTCAACCTGTTTCTACTGCTGTAGCTGCTAAGTAGTAAAATTTACTTTGGATCACTTGTAACACAATAAAAGGAATACATCCTTTTATTAGAAACAGCCATCATAGGACACTATCTGCAGCCCTATGAAATATTCCCCAGTCCAGTTCTCTGCGGCATTAGAGAGTTATTTTTTCCCTTTCCCCGGGGTACCTGCCACTGCTGCTGGGAAAGCAGGGCAGCTACAGGGCTGCCTGAGGGAATCACCTGTGCTTGCTCCATACTGCCCTTGACCCAAGTGACCTGGAAGTGCTTTAAAGCTGTGGTTTTCCCATTTTAGAGGAGACAGAATATATGAGCACCATAGAAAAGACAAAAAACTATCAAGTGATGAAGCTGCTTGCTAAAATTTTCCCACTGAGTTTCTCCAGGGACACAGAGGGTGGCGAAATAGCAGGCAGAACTGGCATGCAAAGAAGTGCTAGGTGGTAGCTGAGAGAAACAAGCTGAGTGGAGAACGTGCATCAAAACTGAATCACCTGTGTGTGACAGCTGCTCATTCACACTGGTTCTGGCACTGCCTGGCAGTGCTGCCTTCCCCACTGCCTCGCCTTGCCTGGTCCTGTGCCTGCCTGAACTATTGGGAGCTGCTCCTATCCAGTTTTCTCCTATACCTCCCTTCTTTTCTCTATTTTGTTTAGACTTTATTTAATTCACTATCATATCATCTTACTATAGACTGCCTTTCTGTAATGGGAAAGATGAATGATGAATTCTGACATCTCAGCACATCCTGAAATAGAGCCACTGGCGGGATGTGCTGCCACACATTGCTCAACTTCTGCCTCCTGGCACTTCTGTTCTTCTGGAGCTGTGCAACTGGGTTTCCATTTATAGCCCCACTTAAGTTTCAGCTTGCCTGTTTTTCCAGCATACTGGGCAGCCTCTTGCTTTGCTTTCCTTGTTTCCACCCTACCTCAAAGGCAACAAATCAAAAGGCCACTTTGTACTATTAACTCCACTTACTGATATTCTCCACAGGAAAGAGGTAAACACATTTCTGATGAGCTATTCAGGCAATAAAAGCTCTGTTTCTTCACATCAGAGCTAGGCATCAAGAGTTCATTGGTGCTTTAACCTCATCCTAGCCACAGGAAACAGATTAGGGCTCAGAGACCCCGCTGTGCAGCCGGCCCTTTCAGCATGTAAGCTCTGGGTGCAACTTGGTGGCTCATGCAGTGCCACTGATTAAGATAAATACAGAGGTTTCCAAACAACCTGCCTGTAGTTCTTCTCAAATGAAGTAGTATTTCCTCATAGGAAATCTGCATCTGTTTGCTTTAATTTTTTCAGTAGTTTGCTTGTTGGGCTACGCATTAAGGCCATTTAAGAGTGCAGCGTCAAAGTGGATTCAGTGAAACATGTCTGTCTGTCAAATTAAGACTTCCTCTGTCAACACTGGTGCAACCTGGGGGAATTAAAGATTCAAAGAGGAAAAAGGAATTTTGATGTTCATCTTCCTTAAAGAGTTTTAATGTGTTTTTTTTTCCATGACATGTAACCTCCACTGATAAAACATTCCAAACCCCACTTGGAGAAACTGCTGTGTGTTTTAGATCAAAATCATACGATGAATCTTAAATACAGTCCAACTGAGGAATTATCTTTCTGTTTCCAAGTCAAGATTACCTTGTGGGTTAATGAAGGCTTGCATTCAAATTCATCATCAGAGGAAGAAGTGGAATACTCTGTAGCTTGTTTTCTGACAGTTAGGTGTTCACATCCTAAAATGCAGGAACAAAACATTCAGTGAAGCAAAAAATACAGACACTTTGCACCTGCCCTGAGTTCTAATCAGCAGCACCTAGAGCAATGTGGAAATTCAGCTGATGGCATTAATTCGATTCTTGATGACTGTCAAAAACTCTGTCTGGGTATATTTGATTTTTTTCAGGTATTACGTACAAATAAATTAATTCCTTGAGCACCCTGCATGCAGCACGCTGCTCTGAATGCACTCAGCATTCATTAAAATATATATCTGAAGTTAGCCATATTACCCAAATGATTGTATAAGGCTCACTATGCAGTGTAATTGAATGCAAAAAGTCTGAACCAGCTCTTAAACAAATTACCCTTATGTGGCTTGTAGCATCTGGCACCCATTTTTACTACATGACATCTGCTCAGTGTAAAATAGTTGGCGTCAGAATGTCTGGTCATATAAAAAAATCACAAATGTAATCAGAAGCAAATGGACTAAGAGAACAAGGCTTTATCACACAGCCGCATGCAACATAAATATTTCATTAATTATGTCTAAACAAATGTCACTTATTTTTCTGCTTTAGGAATATTATCACATCACTGAACTGTTGATTAAAATGCCATAATAAGTCAGGAAAATCCATACATCACAACAATGCACTCCATAAGGAAATCTCCAAGGCTGCCGTTGGAGGAAGCATGCTTTCAGATTTGTAAATTAAATTACATTTAATTGCAGCAATTTTAGCATGCCTGCTTTTTCCAGCATCTTGTTTCAACTGGGTGTAAATATTTGAATTTCTTCTTAATTTGTCTAATTCATAGCTTCATTCTCTTTATTTCAGAAAATAAAACCATTTTTGGAACATCTGTCCCTACACTTCAACCTGCTATGGGGTTAATGATTAACAGCTGGGCAACATCTTGGAAATGTACATTATTTAAAGCTAACAGTGCCATTTTCCTTTGTATCTTCCAGGTAATAATTGGCTGCCTGCATGCAAATTGTATTCAGATTAAAAGCACTTCCTATTCTCCTAGTGTAAATGTTTCTTCTCTGTTTTGTCCTGGATCCCAGTCCTGAAGTAGGAATTCCATTTCAAGCCCTAATTTAAAATCAGGATCCATGAAACAGATTCATCCCAGACAGTAAAGCAATAAAAGCAAATCCAAGTAATTTGAGGCAGAGATTCTCATTTTTCTGGGCAATCTCAACTGTGGAAGAATCCAGTCCTTTTGCTAAATGGAGCTGAAACCTCAGAGGGTCCAGTAGAGCAGGTTTGGGTCCTGCCATCCTTTTTGTAGGACAAGTCCTTGGGCAAGAGACACCTGCAAGCAAAAGCAGGGAGGTGCAATAGCTCTCCAGGTGGGTCTCCAACTCCCAGGCAATTCACCTGCTCCAGGATTGCCCAAGGCTGCCACTTGAAGGCAGAGACACTGTCCTGCTTGCTGGCCTGCCAGGGACTCTCCAATGGCTCACAATTGTAGAGGTCACACCAGTGCCACACACTGCCCCATGTTCTGCAGACCAGAGTGCAAATCCAGCCTCACCCTGTCTCTGCCCCCAGCAATGACAGTCAGGCATAAAGCTCTTCCCAATGCATGAGATGGAGGAAGACATGGGGAGTATCAGCCACTACTTCTTCTGGGTAGTGAAGTCACATACCTTGCTTTTCCCTGTGCAACTAAAAGATTGCAGTAACTACCCTTCAGTCATGCCCATGGGGAAATCAAATTCCCTAACATGCAAAGGGCAAACTTCACAGCCCAGCATGGCAGGAAACACAGGCAATTACACGCTCCCTTTCTTCTCTCTGCTGTGAGAATAAGTGACTGCTTGCCTATGTCCTCCCTTTTGAGTGGTACTGATAATTCAAAAAGCATTACAAGGTCTCCAGGAAAGCCATCATGCTGTAACACAAGGGCACCCTCCTCCTCCTCAAGGCTGGGACTCAGGAGGTCCTCACCTGTTTGACACAGAGACGCAGTCAATGGCTTCACCAGCGACTTCCAAGAACAATCTCGTTAGCACAGGAAGCCCATGTCTGCACACAGGATACATTCATAACATCCACAGTCCTCCCTGTGACAGTCTACTATGGAGAGCCAGATATCCGCACCTTGCTTTGCAGAGAAGAGCCATTTAGATTGCTCCAAAACAGCTCAGCCTTTCAAGCGACACAGTACCCAAAGACCTGTAAGACAATAGCCACCTAACTGAGATCAGCCATCTCCTTCATTGTCTCCACCTGAGCATCCTACAGGATGGATGGAGGACCACATGAAACTGCTCAGTGGTGAGGCATCTGATGAACCTACTGTCTCTGTCACATTTATTGCATGGCACTGATGTTCTCTACTAATTTAATGTGGATAATCGAAGTCACAGGAAAAAGAAGGTGTCTGGAAACACACAAATAGTGACAGAATCGGGATGAGAATACAGGGCTTTTGTGGCATTTCATGACACAGACTGAAGTTGATGCAGAGACTCAAATCCTTGTTTATTACCACCAAGCCCTTTTTATCCCCTTGTTCGCTACTTTCCCAACCTGCAGATACATGTGACATTCAATCTCACTGGTCCCTGTAAAACTCTCCAGGTAAACAGTCCAATCACAATGTTGCAGACCCCCTCACAACCCCCACATCCTCTGGCCTCCAGCTGAGATTCCCATCACAGCTACGTCCTGACCCATCCTCCCAATGCTTGCTTGTTTATCTTCCCTGTCCTTCAATGTTTCAACTCATCGCTCCAGAGCTTGTCAAGCACCAAGGCCTCAGAGCTCATTCCCAAACTCTTTTTCATGCATATCTTACCACCTTCACTCCCCACAGGCTTTGGCTCCCAGATGTGTGGGTTTGCCATACTGTATGGATACAGAAGAAGTGGGACAATGCATTTCTTTCAACATTAGAAGGGCACCCACTGACTGCTCTGCTCAACTATTTTTCTTTGGCTATTTCCAAACAAATTAACAACAACAACAAAAAAATCCAACCAAAAAAACCCAAATCACCCTTCTTTATCACAGCATCTATATGTTCTACTCTAGATGACTGAGCATTAAACTTTCCCACCTCCTAAGGGCTGGAATAAGCAGAATTTACCTGCCAGCTGTGAGAATGTGGACAAGGAGCTCACATATAAAGATGTTCAGTTTATGGACTTCTACACTTATGGGTTCATTTAGATTTGAAACTTAGAATTGTAATAGTAAAGTTAGATAATAATAATAATTTGTCCACTCCAAATATGCCAAGCCTTAAAGCCTGATAGCTACAAAAAAAAAGATCTCAAAAATATATGTTTTTTTCCAAATCTTAATTCAATTCTTCTAGACTTGGGCTTTCTCTTTCTGGCCATCTTATTCCTTCTAGGGAGTTATTTATTACTTAATTACTTTATTTCTTAAGTACTCTAGCATCTCACTAACTTCCAAATTAACTGGGGAGCTTTTCCTCCCCAGCTAACATTACTTTGGATCACTAGGAATGGTCAGCTGTAGTTTTAGCTCTTAATTATAAGGGGGAAAGGAATAAATATCTCTGTTCTTGATTTCTACCTCACAGTAGCTACTAGGAGTTTGGTCAAGACACCTTTCCAGCATATCTGATTTACAACTGTTAAATCACAGGAAGCTGCAGATTATTTAATATTATTATTGTTATTCAATCTGACAGTGTCACAGAATACACTACAAAGTTGGAGGAAACCTCCAATTCTTGATATTGGGACTTGGTATCTTCACTTGTGTATGTCACAAGAGATAAGAAAAATTACATCCATAAAATTAAAATCTGGTCCTATGCCAGTTCGTTAGAGTTTGGTAATCCAAGGGTGTGTCTCAAAGACACTTTGCTTCCACTTAAAGTGCACTGCCACTGAATGCCACCAGCAGCAAAACCGTCACTGCATTCAGAGTGATCTACTGGACCTAAGTCCAGTGCTTTTGAGACACCCCTCCCATAGAAATCTAAGGTACTGGTTTTCCTAACATACTTAAGGTCCTCTGAACAAACAGGGAGCTGTCATATGAAGATGTTAAGAGGGCGATACCTTCTATTAGATGGGAAAGCACTGCTGACTGCCCTGGAGATTAATGGGGAAAGCCACCACTTCTGTCGTTCTGCATATCACAGCTCACCTCCCTTTCCTGGCGTGTTTCTGTGTCATGGTAGTAACTGCAGTCTAAATACGCAGAAAGTCTTGGAGCAGGAACTGTTTTGCTAACATCATGTTATTCTGATCTGCTGGCTTCCTGTGTAGGTGTCCAAGATTCCATATTTTTGTAAAGTCATCGGTGTTAATCATGACCACTTTAAGTACTTAAGTGTTTTACAAAAGAAAGGCAAAGCTACACATATCTCTTTGGCACTGGTGTCCCAAACCAGACAGGAATTGGCGTGAGGCAGGAGATGAAAAGTGGCTTCACATTTCTAGTTCTACATAGATTTCTCATATGGTCTTAGGCCTGAAATTTAATCCTATAGGGCCTCAGTCCTCTTCTAAAACACAAAATCACCAAGATAACAGTGTCCTAGCTGCCAATAATATTACCAACACACAGAATTTCAGTGGTACAAAGATGCAGTAATAGGAACCACGTGTGAACCTGAAATACTTGCAAGAAATCCCTTTTCAATCTGAAAGTGCACAAAACCAGCACAGTGAGTTCATAACACATCTAATTTTCTGGTCAGCAGGACTGGTTTCCTATTTAATGAAGTGAGCTGTGTAAACAACACACAGCCACAAACTGAGTTATAACAACTCCCATCTAAGGGGCAGTTCTCGGAATGCATGTTTCCACATGAGCCCCACTCAGTCAGGGACAGAAATATTCCTCCCATCTCCACTGCTACAAAGAAGCAACCCTGGAGTCACAAGCATCTACTAGTAACCAACCACCTTCGTAGTCTGGTCCTCTGAAAGTCTGTCAGTCAAAAGTAGGAGAAAACAGTTAACCACCTGATTGATCAATTTTATGGATCAAGTCTGGGTTTTTTCAACTGCAGGTTGGAACACAAAGGAGGCATCGACAGACAAAAGCCTCAAAGATGTTTGTGCGGTAAATCACAAGTCTGGCATTGCACCTGGAAACTCCAGTGTGGTCATTTGGAGACATCTGTGTATTCTACTGGCAAACTTGGACAGGGTTTTACTTTTTAAAGAACTCATTCTTTCACTGAAAACAGCACATGAACCCCCATTACGTCAGTAAGATTTGTCTATGTTCCCCACAGGTAGTCTGTGCAGCCGGATCTCTACACGGTCCAAAATTTCCAAGTGGCTCTGAGGAATGGCTCTTACGAAGTGTTAGCCTGAAAGCTTTTAGACCAGGTCTGGATATCAGAAGCTGGAAAGACCCATATGGAAGGTGTAAGACAGGCATAAGTTTGAGCTACAGGTAATCTGCTTCTGAGCAATTAAGATCTCTGCTTCCTCATGCTGACCTTCAGCTGGTGGCTGGACACTTGGCAGGAAGTGACAGAAGGACAGAATACAGTGTTAGTTTGAACAGACACCTGGGTCTGCAATGCAGAAGTCATAAGCATAGGATAGACATTGTGATGTGTATTTGCAGGTAACATAACTAAGATAAGGTGTAAGAAAAGATGAGCAACATAACAGAAGTAGGTGTGTAGAGTGAAACTAATGGTCCTTCCAGGCTGCCAGCAGTGGATGTCTAAAGGAACACCATAGACACCAGGGAGTCATACATGATTCCTCCTGTAACACTCGCCCAGTCTCCAAGCATTTTTCAGTTCAGGAGCTTTCTAAATTGGAAGTGGTTTCTAAGCATTTGGTTACTCCCCAGTGAGCTCAGCCAGTCTCATCTCAAGCCCTGCACTTTAATCACCCAGCTCATTCTTTGGCTCCCCAAGCCAACAGCCCATTGAGGGAGAAAACACCAGTGTAATGTGAGACTCGCCATACTTGCACAGAATGAGTCTGGCCTCAAATAGGATAGAAAACCCCTACTGGAAAGAGCCAGGAGGAGTATGAGAAAGAACCTCATTAAATTGGTTTCTGCCAGGTGCTGGGAGTATTTTTTTCTCTTTAAAGAAAAGAAATTTTCTGAGATTCATGGTAAATTTCAAGAGAGAAAAATAATGATGTAATGTGGGCTAAAGCTCACCATCAGTTCATGAATGAAGTTTGCCAAGCCTGAGCCTCGGACAAGTGCCACTAGGAGACAGAAATGCCATTTGAGAGAGTCAAGCAGGACTTGGCTCTTCTATGAGTTTAATTTACTCAAATATTAATGTTTGAAAAAGTTCAGGGAGGTTCAATGTTGAAACACTGAGGATGACAGATTCCTGGACAAATGGCTAGATCAAAGCTGCATTTTTTCCTCTGAACAGACTTTGCAATGCTTATATTCAATAATTACAATAATTTAATCATTCCTGTTTTGGCTTGCGCAGCAGAGGAAAGCAACACATATTAAACCAGCATGTTTTCCAAAATATTTAAAACATAAATAAAGCAAAGCAATATTCAAACCTAACAAGAGCTTTTCCCATTTTCATAGGAACACCACATACCAATTATTGTCATACATTCTGTTAAAAGCAAGTCAGCTTTACTTACTTGATAGACAATGACTACTCATAGACTCGGAAAAAGCTCCCCATTTAAGACCACAGCATGACTAGTGCGAACACCAGCAACTCTCTGTGGGTTCAGTGCAATCCTTAGCATCCTCTGGCACAATGGGGATGCCTGGTTTTGCAAGTTGTTAGATAAAGGATGCCCCCAAGAATCCAATCCAAACATTCAGGAATAAGAACAGGAGTTATTGTATCAATTTTAATGATATTTAATCAATGTTAATGATCAAGTCTCTTTCAGTATGCAGTAGTTCCGAAGCAAAAAAGATGCAAAAAGACTCTGGCCACTTACTGAGAACTTCAGTGACTTCACATTTTATACACAGATTGTTATTTTAATGCTGCAATACAGCAATTTTGGGGTTACAGATTGGGTTGTAATTTAATAAAGTAAGAAACAAACAGGTAAGTAAAAATTCAATAGGTTATAGTTAAATAACTGACTTTCTCCAGTGGGGTAGTGGAAAGATGGATCACTGCGGTAAGGCTCTCATACCTTATATTTCAGACCTGAAACTGTGCTGCACTTAATTCTTTCTGAGCCTATGCTCAGATTACTCAGACTCCTCTTTGTCTCTGACATCAATATTTCTGAGATTGGTGTGCAATTTTAGTACTAACCTTGTTCTTCCAAGCAAACATGAAAATTGATGCCTTTTAATCGCTGCCCAGACTCACAAGTAGGCCAGAGTAGGTCAGTAAGGAGTTATCTCCTCTCACATAAAAGAACAAGGGCATATTAATGAAACCACAAAGGTCCCTAAAGCATGTCTACAGTTTGGTCACTACAACAGTAGACAGAGCTGAAGAGACACCTGCTGAGGAAACACATACACAAAGCACAGCTGCTTGCTGTTGCAAACATAACTGCTTCAGCCCCTGAGCTCCTCATGGGAAGAGTAGCAAATGTACTCTGCACTGCACTTCAGTTTTCAGTGCTTGTCCTTCTGCTTGTCTGCTGCAGTCCCCCTTCCACCACACACCCAGGGTCACAGCAGCAGGTACCCCACTGCCAAACCACTCCTTCCACCTTGACCAATACATTTGTCTGACCTAAACACATTTGAACAGCATCAAGCTGCAGACCAAACTAGGGACCAGCAAGCTGTGTGCTGCTTGCAAAGTCATTCTGCTCCTTTAAACCAGAAGCAGGTCCTAAACCTTAACTAAAAAATAGATTTATTAAGTCTTCATGTGTAGAAAGTAACTGCAGATTAAACAAAGCATACAACAGATAGGTGTTTACATGATCACACACAGATATTTTAAATGTTAGCTGCTATTAAATCATCATCATAACAATAACTAATAATAATTCAACTTGGGTCCTCACCTGTGGAAGGATAACAGAGCCTGGTTTCTGGAGAATGGTCCCTCACAAAAGGCAGAAATGACACAAAAGAATTTCCTTCTCTGTCATGAACTTTACTTCTCAGTCTATCAAAGAGGGACCCAAGACTACTCTTCTGTGCAGAGTCATTCAGATTGTCCTTGGGGGTGTTCTTGGGCTCTGGAGATGAAAGAAGGAGGTATTTTTCATTACAGAAAAACATGTCATCCATGGGAGCCCCTGGAAGAGTATCTTTGAAGGTAAACTTTTCTAGGAGTCCTGGGACATCCTCCATCCTAGTGCAAGTTGATTTCTGAGGTATACTTGTTGTCTGGGAAGACCTGGTGTGAGAACTGTAAACTGGGAAGGATACTTCCTTGCTGTAACCCCTTGGAGATCTCTCTTCAGAGACAACAGAAAAATTAGATGAATTTGAGAAGTGGCATCCATTTCCTAAATGTTCTCCTGCCCACTCCCCTGCTTTAAGCTCTGGTGGCCGAGTGTTATTTCCCCTGTTATTGTTACTGTTCCTTTGGCTTAGAGAATAGCCAGGAGTACTGGGGAAGCTGAAGAAAGCTTGTTCTGAGGCTTTGACTTTGCTGTTTGAGTCCTGCTTTGGTCCCTCTGAAGATGAAGTCAGAGGCTCAAAAACGGACCTTTTGATAGCATTGGCTATGAGCTTCAGTGGTGACTTTGGTGGGCCAGCTGCGTGCTCCCTGGCAACTACATCTGGACTCCTCAGAGCATCTTTTGCGTTAACTGGCAAAGCTGGTGGAGCATCATCTGCAAATAAGAGAGGCACAGGACAACCAGATGGTTTGAACACAACTTCTGTCCAGTCAGCATTGTTCTCCTGTGAAGTCCACAGCGCTCCTTTGTTTTCATACCCTGAACTAGTTCTGCCTAAGTCTGTCCTGTTAGAATCATATGACAAGGGCAGCTGTTGAGCACAAAGCACCAGCCTCTTTTTTGCCTCCTTTAATTCTTGTTCAAGCTTTTCTTCTGGGTGCCTTGTATTTTTGCCATCTTTCTCCTGCAAATCCAGAGATGACAGTACTTTTGTCTTCCTAATAATATCTTCTGGTTCAAAAGTATATTTCTGGGATTTTTCCTTCCAGCCCTGGACTGTGTGTGTCCTATTGTCACTATCTGTATCTTCAGCCTCAGAAAAATCAGCCAGTGTCCCATTCCCAGGAGGGGTCCATGGAGAACCTCTGGTACTGCTCTGAAAATGAGAACAATGGGGCACATAGACATGGATGTCTTCATGCATCTCTCTGGCTTTTTCTTTTCTTTGAAATACTGGGCTGTAGGGTTTGAAATGTCCTCTTGTGATTTCCGGTGGTTTCTTATGAGCCAACCGTGAAGTGCATGAAAAAGAATATTTCAGGGATAGAAGAAGATAGTTTAGTTTATCTTTTATTTCATGTAATATTTTCATAAATTTTAATCTTAACATAATACTATTTAATGTATATACTCGTATATATGTGTATATATATATCTAATACATATATGCATAATGTATATACTTATTTAGATGACAATACAATAAGAAAAGCTTTTCTCCCTAAAGGGCTAATATTTCCCTAGAAGTGGAGATCTAATATTACTGGAAATATTAATAGTCTAAAAATAATGTTATTCACACTAAGAAACTGTCGTATCTTTATGAAGTGCCTTCAGTGTTTTCCTCAGAAAGAAACAGTCCTATATTTATAGGAAAACAAATGAGAACAGGTCTGCTTTTTCCTCCTGTGTACATTCCAGTTGCATCACCTTAGTGTTTCCAGCAAGCCCAAGAGACCATCAGCCATCTTTCCAACTGCTTTTATAATACTGCATGCTTACATAGCATAGGTACAAAGTGACCCTGACCCACAAAAGATCATTAAATGCAAGACGGTGATTTTAAACAATTCAATTAGCTCTTTCTTATGACTACTTTTCCTTTAATTAAAGTTTTAATTCATTACCCTAGCCATGGAAATCTTCTGCTGGAGATAGTAACAAGGAGAAATGACCACATTATCTAGCCAGCACATCAAAACTAGAGGGTTGGGTGTTTTTGTCCTTCTTAAAAGGGAGGTGTTTTAACCTCAATGCTGTGTGATAATGGATGGTGCAAAGATTCAATTCCTGTTTCTACTTATGTACCAGATTCCCGAATCTACATGGGTGAAGCCACTAATCTGTCTGACTTCTTGTTTCCCAGAAACATCGTAAGTAAGGAAATAATGATTACCTTGTTTCACAGTTGTGTTTGTTGACCAAAGTTAATATTGACCAGGATTTCAGACAGAAAAACATGAGAAACACTAATAAACAAATGAGCACCCTCTTATTTCTATTCTAAAGAGGGAGAGGATTAAGGCCGCTAAGCACTGCTTATGGAGTGGGAGCTGCAAAGAGTCACCTCTCCTCGTGCACAGCATGGTGAGGCAGCATTGTGCAGCTCTGTTCCCATGGGACGTTCCCTTCCTGGCCCTATTGTCCTGGACCGGATTTCAAATACCACCATGGATGTGGGAGAGTTTATTATTTTTTAATGCAGACCCTGAGGTCAAGCAATTTTAATCATGTTTAACCCAAGGGTGAGGACAACCGGCTAGGACAAGGAGGACATGAGCTGGTTCCCACTCCACCCAGCTCCAAGTCCAGGGGACGTGCTGCCCTTTGCCTGAGATGCAGCAGGTCACGACTCCTGCTGCAGCACTGCACAAAGAGCAGGCCCACTATTCCTCAAGCCTAAACCCCCCCATGAATTTAAAACCTCAGAAAATGCAATGGAAACCCTAGGTCCTGAAGAAAGCTGAGGATGTTCTTGAGTTGTGGGAGGTGTGTAGCCAAGGGCATGCTGCAAATTAAGAAAGGCTGCTGCCCACCAGACACAAAAATAAACATCAGACACAGAAACACCTACTTCTAAGGGCTGTAACAGCCTGAAATACCCCAGACTCCTATACCAGGTTTCCTACAGCTGTTATTATGTGAGCCCTTAGCTTGACTCCTATATTTACTCTCTAAGGCTGGTGCTGGCACTTGTCTTTTGCCCAGTGATATACAGCAACCAAGTGATACCCTTGCACCCCACCATGTTGCCAGAATGCCACATTTCCATCCAACCCTACAAGCACACAGACCAACAGGCAGCTCTGGAGCACCAGGGAACAGAGGTTTGGGGGATTTCCTCTCCTTTGGGCAGAAACTGTGGCACAAAAGAAATCCCAGTGGCAGCTGAGCCCCATGCTGTGAGGGAAGGGCAGGTTGGTGGTGCCTACATGTTGACTGATGCAACGGATCAGTGACTAACTCCCAGTGCGATCAAGGTCTGAGTCCCACAGCAAATGTGACATCAGTGCATGATTTGGGAATGGCTAATCCATCAGAGCATCAAAGTCTCTTCCCTCTGTGCAGCACAGGCATAACTCCAACTTCAGTGGTTACTGTGAGGATCAAAACCATTTGAAAGAGCAGACGATGCTCAGAGAGCCTGCTGAGAGCAGAGATACCCAGTGGTAGCTACACGTTTTGCTCTACACAATTTTCCTTCGTACCTGCGTTTGGGAGGGATTCTCTCCAGGACCACTTTGGCAGCTGGCTGAGCTGTCCTTCCCATGTAGCCCAGGTTTCTTGCTGGACAGTAGAGGGAAGCCTGCCAAAGACACACATTTTTCCATCACATCGATACTGGTTTTGTCTTAAATAAAGTTTGAAATTAAAGAACAAGAACAGAAAGTTAAAGGCATCTGGACACAGTTGTACCTGAAGAGCTGACATTTCAATAATGAAGTTTATGGCCTCACTCACATGTGTGTGCATGCTGTGCCAAACACACGTTGGTATTTTTAGCAGTGGTCCTGAACTGCATCCACTTTTTGGCTGGACCTAGTGAAGCAGCTTTAGAGTTCTGGGAAACTTTGTGGAAAACCATCCTTAAAAGCAGAGGCAGTCAAAACAACCAGCAACTCTGGAAGCTTTGGGCAGTTCCGAGAAATGAAGAAAAGGGATGACTTCCGAGAAGGCTGTCTGTCAGAATGGGAAAGAATGGGAGATGCAACCACCTGTAGGCAGTAAGGACAGAACTAATCCTGTGGTCTCCAAGCCAGGCAAACACAACAGCATGCTGGGAGCTCTCCTAGGATCAGACAAAGGAACTAATTGCTAGAGGCCTTGAACCAGAACTAGCATCGATAGACCTGCTGGAAGAAAAAGTCGGGAGTCAGGGGGGCTCGCTAATATTTGTGCCTGTGGGAACTTTACATAATAAATAATCTTTGGACAGAATAGAAGTATCCGTGAGCCAAGATATTACCATGTCAAGCTGTAACAAGCTAGGACAAGTATATTTATAGGTGAATTATTAACTCCCAATTATTAGTTCTGAAACCCACAAAGGTTCCAAAAGCAAACTTTGAATCTTCTACATAGGAATTTAAATGTGTATAAGGACACAAGCAGACAGCAGACTTTAGGAGAGACAAGCCAGGGAGAGAGGCCCAACTTTCCTTTCCTCTCAGTATCTCACCTATTTGCTCCCAATCTCGATTAAATTTGTCATGTTTGGTCAAGAGCAGAGGGAAATGATGAACTGGAGTTTGTTAAGGAACTCCTGCAGGGACTAGCAACCAGGGGCTGACCTTTATGTTCTATAAAGTGAATTGAGTCATGGGAAAACAGGAAAATCAAGAATTAGGACAAAAAAATCCCACCATCACCTACATAAATGAGCCAAACAGGTTTAGCCTGATCCACTAAAACCCTGAGCCTCCTGACACAGGCAAATGTCATAGCTCAGCACACCAGGGGAAATACAACCGCTACAGCAGCAACAGCCATAACACCAACGGGGCCATAAACCCCACAGCCAGGGGTCTGCAGGGAAGCAGCACATACCCACGGGGATAACTGTTTCCTACAACAGCTCCTGTGGGTGTGCATGTGCTTGCACAGCCAGGACCTGCACATGCAGGAGCATTGCTCCATGCAAAGCCACAGCTTGCTGGCTTTCATAGACTCACAGAACGGCTGAGGCGGGAAGTGACCACCAGGGGTCATCTAGTCCAACCTCCCTCCTCAAGCAGGGTCACCTACACTGCTCAGGATTGTGTCCAGACAGCTTCAAACATCTCCAGGGAAGGAGACTCCATCACCAGGCAACCTATTCCGGTGCTGGATTTATTCCCACCAAGACGCTGGATTTGCAGCTTCACATTCAAAACAGGATCTAAAATATAAAAAGCAAAAGCAGCTCCCTAGGGCACCATCATGATCTGTTTGACCCAAAAGCTGCTCCAAGTCACCAAGATAAATTAGGATCACGGTTTCCCCTGTAGCCATCGGATGGGGATGAAAGATTTGGAAAGGTAATATCCTGCTCTGAGCCTTTCAGCCAATATAAGCATGACACTGCTTTCCTTTCCGTGGCCACATGCCTTGTGCTGTTTATGAAACATACGTGTTTTGGGAAATAAGTCCGAAAAGAAGACGGATTTTTTCTTTCATGAGACTGATGATCATATGAGTTCTTATAGCCAAACATTAAGTGGATTAAATATAGAAACTAAGACTTAGTGTTCCTCTAGAGAGTAAAAAAAAAAAAAAAAGCCTTTATTCTGTTCCCAGTATACACTGAATGTGCTTTACATGGGCTTTAACAGCATACTTGAAGTTTCAAATTCATGCAGTGCATTGCTTCCCTTTCAAAGGCTTGTAGCTCCCTCTAGAGCCCTTTAGGCACATGGAAGATTTTAATAAAATGATGGGAAAATAAACTGGGAAACGATTAGGTAATGTCCTTGCTAAGAACAAGCTGGAAATGAGTCGAAATTAAGAGTGACCCACAATCTTCTCTTCTTTCCTCTCAGTGTTTCTTTTTTCCCCCCATCAAACCTGTAATAAGTATAATTGACACAGATGCCATGAGGCTTTTCTCCTTCCCCATCCTGGGCATGGATCAGCTTTCCCACTGTAGGAGAGATCTGGCTCGAGACAATCTTAAGAATCTGAACGTGCACAAGCCCATGGGACCTGATGAAATCCATCCGTGGGTCCTGAAGGAGCTGGTGAATGAAGTTGCTAAGCCACTGGCCATCATATTTGAAAAATTATGGCAGTCAGGTGAAGTTCCCGATGACTGGGAAAAGGGAAATATAACCCCCATTTTCAAGAAGGGGAAAATGGATGACCCAGGGAATTACAGACCAGTCAGTCTCACCTCTGTGCCTGGCAAAGTCTTGGAGCTGATTCTCCTGCAAGGCATGCTAAGGCACATGAAAATCAACAAGGTGCTTGGAGACAGCCAGCATAGCTTCACTAAGGGGAAATCCTGCCTGACCAATTTGGTGGCCTTCTATGATGGGGCTATGGAACTGAGGGATAGGGGTAGAGCAGTTGATGTCATCTGCCTGGACTCGTGTAAAGCGTTCGAAGCTGTCCCACATGACATCCTTGTCTCTAAATTGGAGAGATATCAATTTGATGGATGGAACAATCTGTGGATAAAGAACTGGCTGGATGGTCACACACAAAGAGTTGTGGTCAATGGCTCAATGTCCAGCTGGAGACAAGTAACGAGTGGTGTCCCTCAGGGATCGGTGTTGGGACCAGTCTTGTTCAACATCTTTCTCGGTTACATGGACAGTGGGATTGAGTGCGCCCTCAGCAAGTTTGCCGATGACACCAAGCTGTGTGGTTCGGTTGATACGCTGGAGGGAAGGAATGCCATCCAGAGGGACCTTGACACGCTTGTGAGGTGGGCTGATGCCAACCTGATGAAGTTTAACCATGCCAAGTGCAAGGGCCTACACCTGGGTCGGAGCAATCCCAGGCACAGCTACAGGCTGGGCAGAGAAGAGATTCAGAGCAGCCCTGCAGAGAAGGACTTGGGGGTGCTGGTTGATGAGAAAATGAACATGAGCTGGCTTCAGTGTGCGCTCGCAGCCCAGAAAGCCAACCGTATCCTGGGCTGCATCAAAAGGAGTGTGACCAGCAGGTCGAAGGAGATGATCCTGCCCCTCTACTCTGCTCTTGTGAGACCTCATTTGGAGTATTGTGTGCAGTTCTGGTGTCCTCAACATAAAAAGGACATGGATCTGTTGGAACAAGTCCAGAGGAGGGCCTCGAGGATGATCAGGGGACTGGAGCACCTCCCATATGAAGATGGGCTGAGAAAGTTGGGGCTGTTCAGCCTGGAGAAGAGAAGGCTGCGTAGAGAGACCTCATAGCAGCCTTCCAGTATCTGAAGGGGGGGTATAGGGATGCTGGGGAAGGACTCTTCATTAGGCACTGTAGTGATAGGACAAGGGGTAATGGGTTAAAACTTAAACAGGGGAAGTTTAGATTGGATATAAGGAAGAAGTTCCTTACTGTGAGGGTGGTGAGGCCCTAGAATGGGCTGCCCAGGGAAGCTGTGAATGCTCCATCCCTGGCAGTGTTCAAGGCCAGGTTGGACAGAGCCTTGGGTGACATGGTTTAGTGTGAGGTGTCCCTGCCCATGGTAGGGGGGTTGGAACTAGATGATCTGAAGGTCCTTTCCAACCCTAACTATGCTATGATTCTATGACTCCGTTTGCTGTTCCAGGGAGGCCTCTCGGAGCACAGCAAGTCCCCAGGACTCGGAGGTGCTGTGAATCCTAGGAAACACAGCCCCATCAAGACCCATTTATCTGTCTGTGACTGCTGCCTCTCTGGTAACAGCCCATCACAGGGGATGGTCTGCCGAAGGAAAGCTTGGTGAGAGCACTCTCTCAGGACTGTGAAATAGCCCTGTGCATTCCCTACTGAGATTTGCAGAGTAATCCAAGTTGTCAGTATTGGGAGCCTCCAAGGGTGGGTGTTGACAGTGCTCACATGTACCTGCAGGCAGCTGTCTCTGAGGCAAGTCGTGTTCTAGGAAGGAGGGATGCAGCTTGTCTCCTCTTTTGAGATACAAAAATTCATCCCACAGTGGGTACTTGCAAATAATCTTAAAGCCTGGTGTACATTCAAATCAAGCAAGCCCAAATGCTTCTGCTTGAATGCTGGGTCCTGTAACACACACAGGGTTCCTACTTGTTTTGGGAGCAGAGTCTTAACTTCTCTAAAGGCAACTGGTACTCTGAGCAGCAGCAGAAAACCCCCTAATTGCAGAGGGCAGGGTTAAAGAGCGGCTGTCACCACCATTGCCCAAAAGCCACTGTCTCCATGCCCAGAAACTGTGGCACTTGGTCACGTCCTCATAGCCCTTCCTTCCACTGCTGTGCGTTCGTGTATCATACTTAAGGCTGTCAACACCCCAGTCTGACAGCTATGACTGCATTTCTAATGAAGTCTGGGGAGGATTTGGGATACTGGTAAGCTCACCCAGCTTTCATAGTGGTATGATCAGTCCTGGCAGGTATCTGTGAGTCCTTAGCAAGGACAGGAAAGCTTTTGGGAACATCTGGGATGCTGGTAAGCTCATCTAGCTCCCATACTGGTATAATCAATCCTGGCAGGTACCTGTGAGTCCTTAGTGGGCACTGGGCAGGCACTGTGTGTGCTTGCAGAGGGGCTGTGCCATGGCAGGCAGGCAGCCCTGTTATGAGCAGCAGAAGTGTGACCAAGGACGGATAGCTCCTTTTGGGGCTGCAGCCCAGGAGAAAGCTTACCTAGGTGGAGCCTCAACTGCTAGGGGTGACTGCACTGTGTTTTGGCAGTGAATCGAGTGCAGACCCAATTGTTGTCGAAATCTCTGCATTCCTGTGCATGGGCAGGGATGGGTCAGCCCAAATCAAGTCGAACTGCTAGAGGACAAGAACTAGTAACACTTATGTTCACCAAGTCACCTCTTGGGATGGCTGTTAGTAATCTCTGCCTTTTTGTAACCTAGAAACATCACCTCTTTTTTTCCAACAAAAAAGAATTGATAGAGCACCTGTAGTTGAGTATAAATAGTTACCTCCAGGAGCACCCCTAATGAGTGATACTCATGATGTTAGAGCCAATGTTGCACCTGAGCGAAAGCAATCAGTGCAGGCAGGGCTAGAGACAGAATACATGGCTCTGGGACAGGGGTGCATTTTCTTGGACAATTAGGGCAGACACCACTTGCTGATGCATGTAATAATATAGGGAGCAGCCACACAGGGAATTTGATTTTTTTGAGGATAACAAAAGGGAAAAGAAGTAGTTGGTGTGTTTCAGATCTCTGTTTTCTCTTGTAGTGACTCAAAATTACAAAACTTCTAAAGGAAAGGAGGAGAAACATATATTTAAGAGACAGAAAAGAGAAGACAGCACAAACAGAAGACACAGCTGTTTCTTGGGCTTCACTCACTCGTTTGGAGTTTTCTCCTCCAATTCTGATACTTATTTAACGCGGTGGAGTGAAAACTGTTGGCTCTCTGCAGTGCTGAACAGAAACAGGAAAAACACCTGGTCAGATAGCGCAGCAAAAGCCAGACACCAAAAACAGAGGTGGGAAAAAGGGGGGTGGGGGACGCGGGACGGACGGCAACAAAACCTCCAACCCCGGGCCGTGGTTTTCCCGAGCCCTCTCCCAGGCGCGGCGGCCGGGAGGGGGCAGCGCGCATTCGCCACCGGCCCCGCTGCGGGAGGCGAGGACAGGCTCGGAGGGAAGGAGCTCACGTAAATCCTTCTGAGAGCCAGGCTACTCACGAAGACTTAGATAACCCGGCTGGTATGGTGGGAAGGAAGGTGACTGCAGGAGGGAAGGGTGGAGGAGAACATGGAACTGGGGAGGAAAAAGGATAAAATCCTTCAGTGGCTGCATGGCACCACACACTGGGCATGCTTTAGGGTTTGCTACTGCCCTTTTTCTTTCTCGTGCCCTAAACAACTGCTCCATTATTGAAGAGTCAATTTAAACTGCTGTATGAAATCCCCTCTTTCCTGTTTGGATTTAAAATGCATATATGGATGTGGGGGTGGTGGGACATGGGAAGAAATGAATGCCAATGGCCTTTTATTTTCTGCAAAACAATTTCTTCAGCTGTTTTTAGCACATCTTTTAGTTCTGACCTTCCCCAGCTCCAGAAATGAGCTGAAAATAAACTGAGCACTAACAACTGTGGAAATCATGATATTGGGTATTATGTGTCTTTGCCACTCTTCAACAGTCCAGCTGATAAACACCTAGAGTGTTTGTCATAGCATATAAATTACCCCCTAGATCTAAATCAACCTTAAAAAGAGAGGAAAAAAAACATTCATTTGCTATAAAAGGGGCTTATAAGAAAGATGGGCCTTTTGCAGTAGGGTGAGGGGTGATGGTTTTAAACTGAAAGAGAGGAGATTCAGACTGGATGTGAGGACAAAACTTTTTACAATGAGGGTGGTCAAATTCTGGCACAGGTTGCCCAGAGAGGTGGTGGATGCACCATCCCTGGAGACATTCAAGGCCAGGCTGGATGTGGTTCTGGGCAACATGATCTAGTTGAAGGATGTCCCTGCTGATTGCAGGGGGGTTGGACTAGATGACCTTTGAAGGTCCCTTCCAACTCAATCTATTCTATGCTTCTATTTGGAAGCAGACTGTTCCCAAACCTCTCCCCACCTCTCTGCTAGCTACATCCTTTGTGCTTTGACCTGACACAAAATTTTTAAGCAGCCACGGATAGAAATACTGATTGAGCCAAGCAGAGCTCTCTAGTGCTTCCCAACATCACCCTTCCTTAGGCAACACTGTGGATACTGCCAATAACATCCCAAATTTTTACCAGTGGGAAAACTTCCTTCTCATCCCTGCAGTCTAAGGGTGAGGCACAAGTACTCTGGGTTACACTGTATCTTGGAAATGCTGTTTCAGTTACAGCACCCAAAAGGCAGAAACCCCAAAATGAAGACATCTTTAACAGGTACAGCCTGGCCACACTGCAGGCAACAGCCTCTGCTCCCCACATCCCTGACTTCATCCCTCAGGAGAGGCTGCTGGAGCATACTCAGGTGGGGATGTTGCTTACCATCAGCAACTTTGGATGTTTTGGGGCTTTCCTCCAGTGCCACAGGGTTCCTGGTGAGCGCTGCCCACCTCTGGACGGGGCTCGGGGAGGTGGGGAGCTCCAGCAGCAAGGTCTGTCCTCCATTCACTTCTGAGTTTGACGAGTCGCCATTAAAATCAGACTCCTCCAGCTCAGAGCTACAGGGTAAAAGGGCAAGATGGAAAGAAAGCAGGACATTTCAGAATATGCATGGCATGGAGGTATTCGTTCCCCTTCAGTGCAACAAGCATTGACAGAAAAATGGGCGGTTTTGCAGCCAGAGTCAGCACCCTCATCTTGCTCTTTTTCATTGCTATTATTACAGGCCTGTAATTTGCTCTAGGTGCAATACAGCTGAGCTACACCTATCCGCATCAGACTTCTGCTGCCTGGATTCATGCCCACAACCTTTACTTTCAGCACCTAGAATCAAACTGCTGCCGAGACAAACTTGCGGTGAAATACCTCTTCTTGGTTAGCGGGGATGGGTCCTTCTGCCTGCAAGGCAGGATGAAGAGAGATAAACAGCATTTGCAATAACGTAACTGGCCTAGAAACAAGGCACGAGGGTCAAAACACTACGTTTTTACCTTTTCCCCCCCATAGATTTTTTGGAAATCAGAGGTATACCATAGAGAAAGAACTCACAGGAGGCCAAGCCCTGATCGATCAGAGCAGCTTGCTCTGGCTGTGAGGTGGGCTTCACCCTCAAATTAAGTAGTTATTGCTGAACCTGGCCTCATTGCCCATTTGGGAACCAGCTCCCTGCTCTGATGGCAGCTGAGCACACATCACCTGGCAAGCAGTGGTGGTGCCAGTGCCTCTGCAGCTGCAGCTGCCTCGTGGCGCTGCTCCGGCAGGAACAGGCTCCTGGGAGCTGTTTGCCTCGTGCCCCGGTGCTCGCAGTGGCCTTGCCAGAGCTGCTCACCTTGGCAAGAGGCACTCTGAGGCCTTCTGATGTGACCGTGTTCTCAGTCACGTCCCACCATCCCACTCTGCATGTTTCTAATGCAAACAATACTGCTAACCTAATTCATAGATTTATCGCGACGATTAATAGCTCTACCTTAAAAAAGAAGAGCTTATGCCATGAGTAGTCCTGCTGGCGTGGCAGGAGAAAGCTGTTTGGTGTTTATATAGCACAGCCTTGTAGAAAGTAAAGATAGGCTGTAACAGCCCAAGGCACAGCCCAGGAAACAGGAGGAAGAAGAGTTAAAGAAAAGGCTGCAGTCTGTATAAAGCCAGGGTAAATGCCATATGGGTAGCACCCACCATCCCGGCTTTGCCCAGTTCAAACCAGCAGTGCTGAGAGGCAAGGATGGGAGCACAGCTCCAGGTGCGTTGCTCTCTCAGTAGGCTGAATCAGCATGGCCTTAAGTTTCAGCCCTAACACGCACTTTTTAGGTGTCTTTCAAGCTGTGTCAAGCATAGAGATATATTTAAAAATACAAATATATGGAAGTCTTTGATAGTTGAGACCCTGTGTGGATGGAGAGATACCACACTGAGATTGGGCAGAGCGCCACACAAAAGAAAAAGACCTGCCATTAACATTGATTGATATATTTCTGTTTTAAAGAGCAAAACGTTTATTTTCCTTGGCTGGCAAGGAGGTAAGTGCTATAGTGCAAGCTACAGCTTCTCCTCCGATCTCTGCTTGCTAGGTGGTCATTATCCACAGGTACCTTAAGCCTGAGCTGCAGAACTGCATCACTTGAGATGGTGGTTTTCCCCGTCTCACTAAGTGCCCCACAGCCAGCTCAGTAGTGCCATTTGTCACTTACTATTTCTCTCGTGCCCCATTTTTCAGCAGGGGCTGGCCTCTGGAGAGCACTGCAGCAGCCGGGGGGCTGACCTCAGGGGTGATATCTGTGGCATCACCCCTGGCAGGAAACCAGGGGCCTTGCTGCCTGGCCACAAGGGCTGTGAAAGGGAAGGGAGCTGATCCCTCAGATTAGAGGGATTAGCTGACTCTCACTGCTGCCTGGGGGTGTGGGGGCACCACAAGCCAGAGGGTATTGGTGAGGGATACAAGCACAAGCTCTGCAGAGGGTCTGTCAAGCAGGTAGGAAACCCTGTGCCCTGTGGGAGAGGAATTCTGGAGAGGTTCCTCCTTCTCCAGACCCATGCAGCAGAGCACAAAAGACATTTAAAACCACTGTAGGGAATAGAAAGTTGCATTTCTGAAGGTGTGACTCTCCACAAACCACACACAGCATCACGGATAGGTGTTTAAAGGACATCAAGAATTTGAATGAGCATCCTTACAGAGCAGTAGCTTAGTGTTTGCAACAGTTGGCTTTGGGTTCACCCGGACTTGTTTTTTGCCTTTCCCCCACCCTGCTCTCCCTCTTCTATTTTAGTTCTCAGTAAGGAGAACTGCTTTAGTCCCGAGATACCCATCTAATCCTTAGACGGAATGAACTCCTACAGAATCCTGCCCAGAAAGCCAATACATTCTAATTTGCACACAGAAATTGGGCTTCCTTTGACAGCTCCCCAGGGGTCATCAAATTTCAGATTTCTTAGGGGTGGGCAGGAGCTGGGAGAGGCCTGGGGTGTGGAGCTGCAGGATGGTGCCTGAGGTGGGAAGCAGCCACACCACAGGATGCACCTCTTGCCACAGGCACACCCGCTGCCCTAATCCCTGATCCGATGTATTTTGGTGCACAAAGAGCTGAACCCAGGCTGACCAGGACAATGTTTTTCCCTCTGATTCAGGCCCCTGTGTGGGATGCAAATGTTTGAAGATCTGTTGCAGAGTGACTCATGTGTCCGGGAGATTTATGGCTGCGGTAAAGAACAGTTGTTATTCTGAGCGGTTTGTCTTTTCCTTCCTCCCTCCCTCCCCGCCTCCCCCCCCGGCCCCCGAGTTGTACATACATTCTGTACTGTATTTTGCTATATTTTTCCTTAGTGTTCCAGAGAAAACCAAGCAGCTCTTACAGGTTATTTTATAGGCTTACTTGTATTTTAAAGTACCTGCTTGTGTCACTGGTGACCATGACTCGGATAGCGAGAAGATTGTGCTCTGCCATTTCCTCCTCAGGGATGACCCTCACAGTGGCCCACTCAGGGGAAGGAGGTGAGAACCAGCTCTCCAAGTTAGGGCACTCAGAAATGCTCTTTGCCTTCTTTGGGGAAGTGGGCTCATCAGCTGTGGGCAGGCAGCGATCTGGGAAAGCACAAAGGTGATAGAAAGGTATTAAGAGAGGAGAGAGTCCATGGGAGGAACCTCGCCCCCGTGTTCACGTGGTCCTCAGCCATCGCTGGTGGTTTCTGTGTGAGGCCCTGTCTGTTCCCACAGGCACAGGCAAGGTGTGTGCACTGACAGCCTGGCACAGCAAGAACATCCCTTCAACCCAGTACAACCCTGCTGGGGTTCATCAACTCAGATGCAGAGAGAACCAAACTTCAGGGCAGCCTCAGCTTTTGCAGATACAAAAGCTTGCTCTGCTCCATGGGACAGCCACCAGGCTGGATGACTGGTGGCAGCAGTACAACATGTGCCAGCCACACAAGTAGGGATTTATGGTCCCTTTTCAGGCCCCTGATTTACCTTTATGTGTGGCAAGAAGCACATGGACCAATCTTGCCTGGGGAGCTAAGGCTTCAGCCTTTCATTGGAAGTTTGGATCAATTTAGGACAGTGAGAGCAAGAAAGTAAACGCAGTGTGTTTACAGCACAATCAGACACGATTTGGGAGAAGCATCATCATAGCAGCTAAACAGCACCATCCCCGAACTTCACATTCATGCAGGAAGAATGAATAATAAAGCCAAGTTTCCTTTGTTCACCTCAGGTGATGCAACCAGAGCCACAGACAGCTCATCCCTCCCTGTGAAATCCTTAGTTTTGGAGCAACCTCACCTATCCACAGCCTCTTGCACAGGCAAATACAAACATACAGCTGCACAAGTTCCCCTGGGGCTTGGTGCAGAAGGGACAAATGACAAGCTCCCAGAGAGTGGCTTTGCTCAGTTTAACTCCCATGCATGGTGCTTTTCCCGGATTTAATTCAACACTGCTGCTTCTAATTTACAACTGTATAAGTGGAAGAAAACTGAACCCGGGGCTGGGACAAGGCTTACTTTCTCATTTATTAGAGAAACCTGTCAATTAAACTCCTCTTTAACTTTGAGCTCCTCCATTTATTGCAGGAGTGTATTTCCCTCCCCCCCATCCTTCACTTCATAAAGGCTTTTAACTTAAACATCAAATGCATGCATGGGTTGAATGCAAAAACCAAACCCACAGGGAGCAGCAATGCTACAGGCAAATCCCAGACCATCAGGAGGATTATATGCACCACAGAAGCCAGAGTGCTAGCCCATGGGACCCTACAGAGCAGCAATTTCCCGCCTGCAGGTACTGCAGCTGCACAACCCACACCACACCGAGCTCTAACCCCATCTCAGATCACTTGGTCCATCTGTCACTGTCCCCTCTCTGGTACCACTCCTACGGAGCTCTGAAACAAGGTTGTAACAGCAGAGCTGTGCCTTTATGTTGCATGATTCGTGTAGCTCCTGGCCTCCCCCAGAAAAAGAAAACTGGTGTCCTGAGCTTCTGCACCACTCCCAGTTACTGTCCATCCCCTCTCTGTGTCTGAAAACAAGCACCACAGAGGAAAGCCCAGCTGCTGGTGGCAGGGATGACTGTTCTACAGGTACAGCTTTTATGCTGGCTGGACAAAGCTCTCTTATTTGTGCTCACAGACTGACTAACATGGCTTTGAGTCCTTTTGTTTTTTATAGTTTTACAGATTCAGTCTTTCCCAAGTAACACAGACCTCCACACTCCCCGAAGGGCAGTGGGGACCTCCGGTTTTTCACCCTTCAGAGAAGTCAGTGGATTTTCTTGGCTTGAAAACTCCTCACAACTCCACCTCTCACAAGAGTTTTCTGTGGTTTTGTTGTGTTTTCTTAAATACTTCCATGTACAAGAAGCCAAGGAGGATGGAGGAGTGGCTTGCTGCTTCCCCAGAGCAGGATGCTCCCATGTGAAAACATGTGCTTAGGCTCTACATCCAGCTCACTAGCACCACAGCAGCCACGTGTTTCTTGACCACAGATATTTCATTTCCTTTGGGAAATGGAGGAAATTCATCCCTTTCTGACTTGTGTTTGACTTCTACTTTGTCCCAGCCAGACCACCCACCCCAAAGCTGCTCACAGCAGTGCACAGCAAGCCTGGCAGCGTGGGAAACCCTCCTGGGAACAGCCCCTTTCTTCCCCCAGAGCTGGGCTGGACCACAACATGCCCTTTCTACTCTCCAGAAGCAAAGCAGAAAGCAGTATCTTGAGCCAATTTGTAAAACCCAAGTCCTTCAACTCAACTTTCTCCTTAGAAAAAGCTGCATTTTATATGAAAATCAGAGCAAGCAAAGCCAAACAAAAGTTTGCCAGCTCTGTCTATAAACTTTGTACCCACGCTGGCAATAAGCACTGCCCAAGGTTGCTGTAAGCGTCTGTTAAAGTAAGCCAGTTCTGCCATTTGCCTGCATGCTCAGTACGTACTCCTTCCTCACCACGCTAGCAAAAAAGAGGAGAAAACATGTTTATGACTAACAGACACACAGCTGGGGAGCATCGAAACCCACAGACAGACAGACTACCTAAAATGATTCCCAGCATGGTTCCTGAATGTGAACAGATTTCCAGCCAAGTCCCTCCGCAATAGCCCATTACACATCCAGTTTTCAATTGTGATAGATGTAATAGGTAGAGCCAGTGAAGGACCCTCAGGATGTCTTCCGGGACACTCGATGAGGTGACGGATGGCACCATCACCTCTCTGAAGAGTTACGTATTTAGTTACATGTGTACATTTCTGTGTTCCCTTTTTTTCCTCTTTCTTTTTTTTTAATATTCTGGTATCAATTGAATTCAGCACCTAGAAGCTGCCCCCATCAGGATTCTACTAGACAGCCAAGTCCTCCTTGAGCAAGATAAGCTTGAATTCACAGACATACCCATCAGGTTTAAGATCAGCAACCTGCATCAGCATCCACTTCAATCCAGCAGATCCCTGCCCATGGCAGGTGGGATGGAACAGATCTTTACAGGTCCCTTTCAAGCCCAAGCCACTCCTCACTAACATTTAATCAATATTTGTACTGTGACATATGAAGTTGAATAAACGATGTTGCACTCAACTCCATAAAAGCAGAGACTGGGCTGCCTGGGTGTTTCAGTGTGTGGGATGTGCACTCATACACGGGGTTACACACTCGCAGGACATTCAAAAAGATTAAATATAGTGCTGCTGCTTCTCATTGCAGGGCTGCACCTTGGGTAACAGGCTCAAACAAAGAGCAAAGGTGTCCCAGATACCCAAGTATCAGGGGTTTTGTCAGCTCTGATGATGTTACACAACTTGACTGGTCTCTCCTGAAAGCAGCCCTTCCTGCAGCATCAGGCTGAACCCCAGCCCCGCAGGCAGGCACTGCATCGCGAAACACAGCTCGGAAGAGCACTTTGGGCTCCTGCAAGACAGAGATTCCAAGCCCCAATAACAAGAGGGGTACAGACCGAGCAGAGAGAGCAGAGCAAGCTGCTGCTGGCTTTGTGTAAACACTGCGGAAGAAGAGCATGGCCAATTCAAACAAAAGCCTTGAAGCTCTGCAGGCCTGGGGTGCTCCTGGGAATTATTACCTGCCTCTCCACAGCAATGCAAATAAATCTAATCAGCCATCAGATGCAACTCCACCACTGGCCATTGCTGCCGTCAATTTTAACGGAGTATCAAAAGGAGAAACATGATTTAGACAAGGAACCATGAAAGAAATCTGGGAGTTCTTTAAAGCTCTTATTTCGCACAAGATAAGAAGGGCTGTCTGAACTAACTTCTGAATCAGCCAAAAGGCTGAGTACTTACACAAAAGTGAGGCATACATTTATGCTCCTGAAAGATGGCTAGGCTAAATAAGCAGCAGCCATTTTACCTTCCCATTTCAGCTGGGAGCTTTGCAGCGCCCCTGAATCCTGGACAGCCTCACAGCCCCAGCAGTCAGGTCCTCAGTGACACATCAGCACAGTGAGGCTGAGCAGGAGCATACCGATTTTTTGGCAATCTGACTCCAGGGTGGAAACCAGGCTCTAAACCTGAGTGCCCCAATTCCCATCACACTGCAGACTGACAGCTGAACACCTTAGACCGGTACCTCTAGTGACCATTGCAATTAACTGGTCATGCACTGAGCTGCTGGTAAACCAGCCCTCGTGGAGGTGCAGATGGATCCTGGCTGGAGGCTGAGCTGTGCTGGGGGGTAAGCCCAAGTCGTTTGGCACTTCTGGGCATATACAGCAGCCACATGCTCTCTGGGGAAACTCAAGCTCTGGCAGAAGGACTGAGGTGGCCATTAAGCTGCTAAATCCAACGTGGCAACTCTCATGTAAGTTCTTGCTTGAGCCTTTCATAAGTCTGTGCCTGGCTGTGCTTACCACATTATCCATTTCCTCATCAGAAGACACAAAAATGGCCATACTGCTACTCCTGAAGGGGAAGTGGCACAAGGCTGGATCCCTGAGGGAGCCTGTGGTATTGCAGGCAGCTCTGTGGCCAGCCAGCACCCCCATTCTGCATCAGGGTTCCTGCCCAGGACAGGAGATTTTCTACTAGAAGCTAAGAGACTGAGTCAGAGGAATTGAATTTTGTAAGATAAACACACACAATGGAAAAGCTGGAGAGACATCCAGTGTGTAGGACAGAAAAGGGCACAGCCCCATTTCCTGCCGATGCAAGCTGGTTCTGTGCCTCCATGTGGCAGCAGCGGACATTGTCAGGGGAGAGCCCAGTCCTCAGGAAACAGTCACTCAAAATAGCATTTGCATAAGATCTTGTTTGATTTCCATCGTGCTCACTTCACATTTCCTACTCTCTGTCTCAGAACGCCAAGGACCTCCAGCAGTGAGTATGCCTGCTCTGTAGCACAGTTTGGGCCGGAGTCCCTACTACTCCTTTGCCAAAATGTTTGCATCCTTTACATGGGGTGGCACGGACAAGGCATACATGGGAAGGCGTTAATCTTTGGTCACAGCCAGCAATCTGTCACGCGAGTATGGCTGCAGGGACAGGCAGCACATGCCATGAGTATGTTGCAGCACACTGCTGGCCAGTTAAAGTGAAACCTCCTGACAACTGACTTGTGGGGTTTCTTTGGGTGATGACAT